GTATACACATGGATTTATTTCTGGACTCTATTCTGTTTCATTGGTCTATGTGTCTGTTTTTATAAGAGTACTGTGCTGTTTTGATTACTATAAATTTGTAATGTAGTTTAAAGGAGGAAGTGTTCTTCTTTCTCAAAATTGCTTGGGCTAGTCAGGATCTTTTGTGGTTTCATATACATTTTAGACTTTTTTCTATTTTTGTGAAAAATGCCATTGGAATTTTGATGGGGAGTGCATAGAATCTGTTGACTGCTTTGGGTAGTGTGGATATTTTAACAACATTAATTCTTCCAATCTATGAACACAGATCTCTTTTAATTTATTTGTGTTTTCTTTCTTTTTTTCAGCAATATCTTATAGTCTTCAGTGTACATATATTTCACCTCTTTGGTTAAATTTATTCTTAAGTATTTTATTCTTTTTGACTCTATTATAAATAAGATCATTTTCTTAAGTTCTTCTTTAGATAGTTTGTTGCTAGCATGTAGCAACATGAGTGATTTTTGTATTTTTATTTTGTATCCTGCACTTTACTGAATTTGTTTATTATAACTGTTTTTGGTGGAGTCTTTAGAGTTTTCTGCAAACAGAAATCTGCAAACAGAAACAGTTTAATTTCTCCGTCTCCCACTTGGATGCCTTTTCTTTCTTTTTCTTGCCTAATTGCTTTAACTAGGATTTCTAGTACTCTACTGAATAGAAGTAGTGAAAGTGAGCACCTTATCTTTCTGGTTCCTGATCTTAGAGGAACTTTCAGCCTTTCACTGTTGTTATTGGTTTATTCTTAAATCTCATGTCTTCTCTTGTTTGAGATTTCCTTTCCTTTTTCCTGGAGTAGATTCTTGAAAAGCTTTCCCCCAAAATATTGGCTAGGGTAAGATTTCTCTATCTTTGCATGTACAAAGTTGTCTTTATTTTGCTGTCATTCCAAATGACATTTTGCCTAAGAAGTCCAGATGGTTAAACAATTATATTCACCTAGAAGTTTGTAAACATTGTTCCTCTGTTCAGCAATTCATGTTATAGATGATGCTGAATTTTAGGCATCCAGAAAGGCCTGAGATTGGCAGATATTTGTTGACACTTCAACCGCATAAAAGGTACAAAGTAACCAAATAATAGGAGAATGAGAATGATGGTGTCCAGGGGACAGACTGGAAATACATTCTGGTGATATAGTTTGGTTCATCATTCAGCTAATATTTACTGCCCTTCTATTCCCACTGTGAGCAGAGTAAACTTCCACATGGTTGATGTTAGACTTGGCCACATGGCAGGCCTTAGCCAATGGGATGACTGTGGTCATATTGGAAGAAAGGCTTGAGATGTGCTTATGCAATGGGACTTTCTCACCTGCACCTGTGCTTTAGCCATTGCCAAGGGAGTAATATTCTGTGGCTATCCTGCTGGTCCAAGGAGGACGAGAGACATATGTGCCGACTTGGACTTGGACCAAACCACTGTTTGAGGCCAAGTCCAACCTGGATCAGCTAACATTAGCTGACCCTAAAAGCATGAGCAGGTTGTTTTGATCCCTCAACAGGTAAATGGATAAATAAATTGTGGTATATACAAATGTAATGCTACTTGCAATAAGGAGGATAACAGTTGGTAAACATAACAATAAGGGTGGTTCTCAAAAGAATTACCAAAGGGCAAGAGCAATCTTTTGAGGGCAATGGATATGTTTAGTGTCTTGATATGGTGATAATTTCACAGGTTTAGACATACATTAGAACGTATCAAACTGTATACTTTATATATATACAGTTTCTTATGTGTCAATGCTAGTAAACCTGTACTAAAAAGACTAAATGATTGTTGTTTTATTGTGTCAATTCTATTAAAGCTGTTTTTAAAAAGACTAAATGATTGTTTTATTGTGTATCAATTCTATTAAAGCTGTTTTAAAAAGACTAAGTGATTGTTGTTTTAAAACCCTGAGTCTTGGAATGTTTTGCTATATTGCAAAAGCTTTCTGATATGTCCCTAGAGTCTATGTTTTGCTAAAACACTTTTCCAACATCTCTTCGGATTGAGAAGCAAGATCATTTCCCAAAACATAAACATCAACTTCTTAGGTCTTATGTAGGATGACTTTGCCGCCCTTACACACGTCTGAAGAGTAGACATCAGCCCATGTGAATGTGTGTCTGTGTGTGTGAAGTCACGACTGAGTAGAAAAAGCCTTGAGAGAATTATTTTAGTAGTTATGAAAGTTAAGTGGGTCTACAAGGATTTTTTTTTTTAAATCAGGTTCCCAGATGGTAGCATGGGTTCTGACTGTGTGACCTTGGACATGTTACCTAGCCCCTCTGTGCTTCAGATCCTTTATCTGTAAAATGAGAAAAACTATAGTACCTGTCTCTATACACGGTACAAAGTAGGCCTTCAATAAATGTTAGCTGTTAACAGTGTGACAGTCAAAGACCTTTAGAGATTTTTATATCTTAAGAGGAAAAAAAAAATACAAAATCCAATCAATGATACAGAAACTGAGGTAGGAGTCAACAAATTTCCATGAAAGGGAAAAATTAGGTAATGATATGACCCAAACCCAAAGTTGAGAACAAAGGCAGTCCCAAGGGCTCTGAGATGACCACCACTCCCCCGCCCCCATGGAAGGTCTTGAGATAAGCATCTATGACCAGGCCTTGGAATGGTTCATCAGGTCATGAACAAGAATCCCAGCTTACAGCTTCAAGATCGTTAAGCAGCATCAAATAGTTGAGTAGGTAGCCTCAAAAATTGTTTCAGGCCAAGCGTGGGGGCTCACACCTGCAATCTCAGCATGTTGGGAGGCCAAGGTGAGAGGATTGCCTGAGTACAGGAGTTTGAGACCAGCCTGGGTGGCATAGGGAGACCTCATCTCTACAATAAAAATTTTAAAATAGCCGGATGTGGAAGCACACGCCTGTAGTTCCAGATACTCAGGAGGCTGAGGCAGAGGGATCACCTGAGCCCAGCAGGTTGAGGCTGTGGTAGCTGGGATCATGCCATTACCAGCCTGGGCAACAGAGTGAGACTCTAACTCAAAAAAAAAAAAGCTTTAAATGACCAAATTATTACCTTAGTGAGTAGTTTTTACCCCCAGAAAGATCTAAATTACATATAGAGATGTAAAAAGAACAAAAACTGAAGGGTTAATTAATTAATTTATTTATTTTTGAGTTGGAGTCTCACTCTGTGGCCCAGGCTAGAGTGCAGTGCTCATGGTCACCCCAGTGTCGACCTGCTGGGCTCCAGGGATCCTTCCACCTCAGCCTTCCAAGTAGCCAGAACTACAGGTGCACGCTACCATGCCCAGCTAATTTTTTTCTTTATTGTAGAAATGAGGGCTCACCAAGTTGCCCGGGATGGTCTCGAACCCATGGGCTCAGACAATCCACTTGCCTCGGCCTTCCAAAGTGCTGGGATCACAGGCTGAACCACTGAGCTTGGTCTAATATTTTTATGTTAAGATAATTTTTATATTTTATATTTTTATAATGTTTAAGAGAACTCAGACTGTTAGAGTAATAGATTACTCCATTATTCCAATTTTAAATATGTAATCGAGTAATTGATCTGGACTTGGGACTTACTCTTTTATACATAGTACTGGAGCCGCTAATCAAACTTCAAGTTCACTCTATTTATAAGCTAAATTCATTAGATTTGTAAGAATTACTTAAGTACTTAAGATGGTTTATCAGCCAATTATACTAATAAAGTTCAGCAAATGTATTATATGTGATGGACAATACAATATAAAATGCTTACAGAAATTTAAGTTTGTAAATGAGACCAAAATTAATCAGAGCCTCCTTAAAAATGATTGTTAAGTTTGCTAGATCGATAATTAAAATAATAAGTTATTTGGTTGGGCGTGGTGGCTCACGGTTGTAATCCCAGCACTTTGGGAAGCCAAGGGAGGAGGACTGCTTAAGACCAGGAGTTCCAGATCAGTCTGGGCAACATAGTAAGACCTAATCTCTACAATTTAAAAATATTAGCCAGGAGTGCTGGTGCTTGCTGTAGTTCCAGCTACACTGGAGGTTGAGGCAGGAGGATCACTTGAGTCTAGGGGTTCAAGGCACAGTGAACCGTGAATCATGCTACTTTACTCCAGGGTGAGAGAATGAAATGCCAACTCAAAGTAATAATAACCCTGTTAGTTAAGCTGAAATTAAAGTTTAAGGACAAACTGACCTTTTTCCTTTTACCTATAACATTTTTTTTTTTGAGTTGGAGTCTCACTCCGTCGCCCAGACTGGAGTGCAGTGGTCACTCCCGGTCACCGCAGCCTCGACCTGCTGGGCTCTGGCGAGCCTTCCGCCTCAGCCTTCCATGTAGCCGGAACTACAGGTGCGCGCTACCATGCCCGGCTAATTTTTTTGATTTATTGTAGAGATGAGGTCTCGCCAAGTTACCCAGGCGGGTCTCGAACCCACAGGCTCAGGCAATTCACTCACCTCGGCCTCCCAAAGTGCGGGATTACAGGCTGAGCCACCAAGCCCAGCACCTATAACTTTATAAAAATTGAATATTAATTTTTAAAACCTAAGAAAACCCCTAAATAATCTTTTCTGCACTCAAAAACCACCTTTCAGGGCATCAAAAAAAAAATCACATTAACATGTATATGTGTGTATGAGGTTGTGGTTATTAGAAACAATCTTATTACCTCTCGTTTCTTTCACACGGGGCCAAGAATAGGACAATTTATCTGCAGGGCCCTTGGCTAACCACTTGTCCCTCTTAAATTCACACAAGAAGGAGGCTTTGGTCACAACTCTTCACTACTCAGTAAACTGCAGCTCACACAAGACCTGGAGGAAGAGTGTCCCCAGTCCAAATTGGGCCAAGGTTTTCACTCAGTGGCCCCCAGGGGTATGTCCTATCTCTGTGTGAGAGTCACTAGAGCTCAGTCCCCATCCCAGAGTCTGAGTCTGGGAGGGGTGCCCTCTGTGGCTCAGTACATACAATTCCCTTCGGCAAGATCCTCATGGGCACCCCCTATGGGTGAAGGCCTGCGCTGGACAGCACGTCTCCAGAGGAGGGTGAGAGACCTCCTTGAAGCACCCCCAGCCAGCGGGGGGGTAAATTACACATTGGAGTCCTACACACGGTACTAGAAACACTCTCTGACAACCCTGGAGGAAAGGTGATGATCCTCGGTGGTGACAAAATCCAGGGACAGTCTCTCAGAGCCAGAGACTCATCGTGTTTAAACTAACTACATGATCGGGCTGACACATTCTCTCGTCCTCTGTTTCTGTTCTCTCCCCAGAACTCCCCGTTTCTGGAAAATCCCCCTGGTAATGTCTGAGAAGCCCAGATGTAACCCTGAGCCCAGGACCTGGACTGCTTAGCTGGGCCCAGCACTTTCTTTGGGCCTCTCTGCTGTTTGGAGTTAAAACTGAATGAATCCATTAGAAAGGCTTCTTTTTTTTTTTGAGTTGGAGTCTCACTTCGTCGCCCAGACTGGAGTTCAGTGGCCACTCCCGGCCACCGCAGCCTCGACCTGCTGGGCTCCAGCGACCCTTCCGCTTCAGCCTTCCAAGTAGCTGGAACGACAGGCGCGCGCTACCACGCCTGGCTAATTTTTTATTTATTGTAGAGATGAGGTCTCGCCAAGTTGCCCAGGCGGGTCTTGAACCCGCGGGCTCAGGCAATCCACTCACCTCAGCCTCCCAAAGGCGCGGGATTACAGGCTGAGCCACTGAGCTAGGCTAAGGCTTCTTTCTAATTTTACCTTTCTAAGTTTCTTTTTTTAGCCAGGATTTCACTCTGTCACTCAGACTGGAGTGCAGTAACACAATCATAGCTCACTGCAGCCTCTATCTCCTGGGCCCTGACGATCCTTCTGCCTCAGTCACTCAAGTAGCTGGTCCTACAGGCATGCACCACCACACCCGGCTATTTTTTTTTTCTTTTCTTGTGTATAGATGAGATGTCGCTACTTTGTCTATGCTGGTCTTGAACTCCTGGCCTCAAGCAATTTTCTCACCTCAGTCTCCCAAAGTGCTGGGAATACAGGCATAAGCCACCACACACAGCCCTCAAAGTTTCTTTCCTAAAACAGTTTCATAACTGCCGTGTCAAAGCAAGAACAAAAACATCAGAACTGATATCTCACTCATATTAGCAAGTTTTTGAGATTATCACTCACCCTAAGGGGCCCCTGCAAGACCTGGGAATGGGGATAGGAAGAAAAAGGAAAAACTTAGGGCCCCCTGGTGAGAGATCCTCCTTCCCCAGCCAGGACAGCAGGCTCCAGGTGACAAGGTCCCCTTTGTGAACAGGAACAGGACACAGAGGAGTTCTGGATATGGGGGACGGCAGGTTGTCCGCAGCACCTGTTGGCGGCCAGCCTTCTCCAGCCACATGCTGGCCCACTGCTCCAGGGCAGGGGCCACACTGCTTGGCAGGGCTGGCAGAACAGAACCCAAGAGAGTACCAGCCTCTCAACACCCATCTGTCAGGGTGCCCCAACCTTTACTTGAGGTGGAAAATAATCTGGAGAAACAAGCATTCCCCACAAACCACTGAAAAAGTCATTGAAAAGAAAAAAGAAAAGAAAACTGTTTCCCAGTAAAACAGGAAGAGCAGGATGAGGACAAGTTTGCGTGGAGCTGAGAGATGAAAGAGAACAGACCAGAACTCTGTGTTTCTTGTCATCTGCTTTGCATTCACTGGAAAGAGAGACATCAGGGCGAGGGCCCCCGGAGTCAGAAGCACTCCTGGATTTTGTCTGTGATGGCCCAGGCATCAGTTCTCCCACCCTGGCCTTGATGGTCCCCCATCAGTGCAGCCCCAGGTTGCAGACTGTTGGGCAAGAGAGAAGTGAACTCTCTTTAGAATCACTGCAGTTTGGAGCATCTTTGTACAGCAGTCCTAACTAACCAACAGACCTGGAAGGAATGCCTTTCTCCCCCTTATTCACTCCTCTGTGAGATGGCGCCTAAGCTCAGAGTTTTCAGACACAGCTCTTTCCACTGTTATTTACAACCTCCTGCCTCCCTGGATAGACATGCAGGAGGCTGGGCTGCAGCAGATTTGAGAAGCAGCCACCTCTCGGCACTCAGAACCTCACCAAGAACCCCAGGCTTTGCCTCTGCACCCAACTCACTGGGCCAGGCCTCTTCTCCTGTGGTGAGTTCTCACTCAGAGCCTCCCTGCTGCATGTGAAGAGGCCCACACATTCTTCCATAGCCTGCAAGACTTTGCACAAGGAGTCCCTGCCTCCCTGGCAGACCCCCATCTTCCTATTCACTAGGCTGCAGCCCCACTGGCTTCCTTGGGTCCCTCAGATATGCCCAGTGTGCCCCTGCCTCGCGGCCTTTGCACCTGCTGCTCCTTCTGCCCAGAAATCTCCCTCCCCTGATTGATGCAGCTGCCTTCTTTTCCTTATGAGGGTCTCGTCTCAGATGTGCCTCCTCAAATGTTCCCTGACCACCCTAGCGGAGCATCCCACACACACACACTCGGTTTCTGTCCACCACGCAGCCCTACTCAGTCTCTCCACAACACATACACGACCTGAAAATCATCTTGCCTTGTGTGTCCGTTGCCTGTCTGCTGTCCCCTAAGAACCTACCACTCTTGAGGGCAGGACTCTGCATGTCTTATTTTCTGCCATGTCCCCAGCATACAGAATAGTGCAAAGCACATGGGTGAAGCCCAGTAAATATTAGTCAGTTGGCTACTCAGTGTCAGACCCTATCCAGGAACCCGGGGAGCACAAGGGTCCCTGCCAGCAAGGTAACTCGTGCTTTACAGGGAAGTGACAAGTGACCAAGCAGAACACTTCCATGTTCTTAGAACTCTATAAACACCCAAATAGGGCAAAGAAAGGCTGGCTGGTTCTACCTCCAAGGACAGATACAGCTTCTTCACAAAGAGGTCCTAGAACTGAGTATTGAAACATGCATAGGTGACTGGACATGGTGGCTCACACCTATAAATCCCAGCACTTTGGGATGCCAAGGCTGGAGGATTGCTGGAGTCCAGGAGTTTGAGACCAGCCTAGGCAACATAATGAGACCCCATCTCTACCAAAAAAATTTTTTTAATTAGCCGGGCATGGTGATGCACACCTGTAACCCCAGCAACTCAGGAGGCTGAGGTGGAAGGATCACCTGAGGCCACGAGGTTGAGACCGCAATGAGCCATGACTGTGCCACTGCACTCTAGCCTGGGCGACAGAGTGAGATGCAGGCTCAAGAAAGAAAGAGGGAAGGGGAGAGAAGCGGAGGGGAGGGGAGGGAGATGCATAGGTGCTTCCCTGGTGAAGGATGAAGGTGCAAAGCTGTGGAAAACAGGGCTATTGGGGAAACAGCAGGTGATTCAGAGACCCAAGCGGGGAAGGGTGTGCAGGATGGGGCATGCATTATGTTGCCTGGGCTGGGAGTGGGACATGGGGAATAGTCTCTGCCAGGGGAAGAGCTCAGGCTTTTTCTAGTGACAGCGATGAGCCACAGAGAGGTTTTCTCACTGTTGATGTGTTGGCTCCTTCAAAGTAGAAGAATCTTAAACAGAGGAATGACTTGGTCAGAACTGATTTCCAAATGATCCCTCTGCCAAAATTGGCGTTTCCCGTGTCCCTTGCCCAGTCATGACCGTATTGGGGCATATTTCCAAACGATGCCTCTGCCCTATTTCTAAAAATAGCATGCCTGTCTTTGGAGGCACATCATTTCACAGCACGATGTTTCAGAAGGAATTACACGCATTTCAGTTCACTGGGACTCACACTGTGCCTGGGCTCCTGTCTGCAACTTTGGGGTCCATAGTTCATAGGTCAAATCACATGGAAGGTCTCACCAGATAGCAGAAGGCAATGAAGGATGTTCAATAGATGCAGAACTTAAGTTTTGTTCATCTCTGAATCTTCCTCATTTGGATAGAAACTCAGAACCCTCAATGGCAAAACAGAATACTAATAATATCTATCATGTAGGATCCTTCTGAGGATTAAATTAGCTAATATCTTATGTCAAGCTCTTAGAAGAGTCCTTGAAACAGTATGCTGTACAAAGTGTTAGCTGTTGCTTATTTTTGGCCAACACAGTTTCAGTTTCTAGAATTGATCCAATATACTTTTCAGTGGAAGAAAAACATATAAGTGTATACAGAGGGTAGCAAAAAAATGAAAGGAATTGTAATACTCAATATATTCTGATAACAAAAGATGAGTACATGTCACTTTTGACTTCTGTAGTTATAATAGGTGCTCAGAGTGGTTGCCATCAGCATCCAGACACTTCTGATAATGTAGATACATAGATAACATCACTTAAAATGTGTATGCATTTTTTGGCAACCCCAGTACACTGTGTGTGCGTGTTTGTGTTTGTGAGGGAGACAGAGAGAAGGAAAGAGAGATGTTCAGCTCTCTTGAGATATGAGCTCGCTTGGGACTTATACATACATATACTTCCACCAATGTAGATCTACTATGGGCCCAACAGAGTTCCAGGTGTTATGTCATTATCTGCACCATATGGCAGCAAGGCAGGAATAATTATCTCCATTTTACAGATGAAGAAGAACACACTAAAAGTTGCCAGACAGTGTTAAGGGCTGGGGGAATACTAACCACTGAGGCACCGAGAGGCTGCCACACACACACACTAAAAGTTGCACAACTTGGAGTCATCTCTCTGCACCTCAGTTCCTCCAGGGCAGGAAGCCCATCTTTCCCACTCTGCATTCCCAGAGTCTTCTGCAGGGAGAGAGAAAGATCGTTGTTTCCTGGGTCAAAACATTATGTGCTATATGGTCAAAATTACCTTGAAAACCTTGCCCATGCCATATTTATGCATGCAACAAATATTAATTGGGCACCCACTGTGAGCAGGGCCCTGGACTAGCACCAGAGATCAAGTGGGAACCAGATGAGCAAAGTCCCTGCCCCTGCGGGGTAGTGTCCAGTGAGGGAGTCAGGCATTAAACAAAATGGTTAACATTAAACGAATAATTAATATAATGCCAGACAGTGTTAAGGGCTGGGTGAAAACTAACCATCTAAGGGAGAGAGAGTGAAGGGTAGGAGTTGGGGAGGATCACCTGAGCCCAGGAGGTTGAAGTTGCAATGAGCCTTGATTGTGCCACTGCACTCCAGCCTGGGTGATAAAGGGATACTGATTTAAAAACAACAACAACAACAAAAAAACCTCCCCTCAGAAAAGTCGTGGATCCTCTTTCAAAGAGCTCACCTGATTAGGAGTCTTTACATAAGGTGGTCAGAGGAAATCTTTTTGAAGAGGTGATATTTGAACAGAGATGGACAGAACTGAGGAAGTAAACCGTATAACCACCTGGAGAAGATCGGTGTGTTCTGGACAGAGGAAGCAGCAAGTGCCAAGGGCCTGGGTGGGAACAACTTGGAGTTTGCAAAGCATGGTGCTGTGTCTCGAACCCGGACAGGAATATCTGTTCTCTACCCAGATCCTCTGGGGTCCCTTTTCTGTATCTCCCAACTCCAGCACCTGTGGTTCTCCTTCCAAAGGCCACTCCCAGAGTACTGAAGCCACTTTGCACACAGAGGCAGAAGGCAGCAGGTGCCTGGGAATGGGCATTCCCCCACCTACTACCCTTCCCCTGCAGCCTTTAACCAGTGCCTGATGGGCGAGGGCAAATATTTAGAGTAACTTACATTCGGCTTCCCTGCAGGCTAGGCCCTCACTGCAGGACTTTGCCTGAGATGACGCCTTGCTCTCTGCTTGGCTTCCTCCCCTTTCCTCTCCTGCCTTACCTTGGCATTCTTCCCTGAGAGCGTTTCCTGAAAAAGCCACTTGCATGTGTCTAAGACACACAGTAGGTCGAGTTGCAGCAGTGTATAGTGTCATGGTAAGCCCATCTGCAGAAAATCATGTTACATTTTCTAAGTGATGGAGACAATCGCATAGAGTTGACTCTACACTGAGTTGGATACTCAGATGATGCTACCCACCCCCACACCAGAATGATTGTCCAGATGATGCCACCCACCCATATCCCAGCCCTCCAGGACCTCAAACTGGGAACAGAATGAAGGCCTGTGGCCTGTGGCTCCAAGCTTCCCTGTCTTTTGGCATCAGGAAGGGGACAGTCCACTCTGGAAAGCGGACCTGGACAGTTCTGCAATGGGATAAGGGCTAAAATACTCTTTGCCAATGCAGACGTTGTTCAAAGCCTCAAGAGACCATCTGAGTGCTTCGATCATGCCGGGCTGACATTCTAAGACTAGGACAGAACTACTTCCCCTCCATCCCTGAGTGCCTTCCTGTCCCAAGTGCAGGAAAATCCTTTTTGATAAAGGCCTCACTGCCCACCCCTGCAGAGCCCAGGCTTCAGGACATTCATTCCTTCCTTTGTCCTGAAGACATTAATTAAGTACCCACACGTGCCTGGTGCTAGCGACACAGAGGTCCAGGGGTCCTAACCACACTCTAGCTAGTGGAGGTCACCCAGGAAGGATGCCAAGAATTCTGCAGATAACTTTGTGAAAGGAACATCTGGGCCTGGGAATCCCATCAGTTTTAAGCATGAGCTGTGTCCCAGTTAGGGACTCACTCATAGTAAACTATTATAATAATAGTTCTGAGTCTGCTTTCCAATGTAACCTTGTCACTCCTCCCCTCCAGGGATGGGGTCTATTTCCCCGTCGCTGAATCTGAGATGGTCTTAGATGTTCATTTTCCAGTGCTCTGTAACAAATTTAGTGGCTTAAAGGAACACCCGTTTGTCATTTCAGTTTCCGTGGATAAGAAGTCCAGGCACAGCTTAATGGAGTTCTCTGCTCAGGGTCTCCCAGGCTGCAGTTGAGGTATCAGCCAGGGCTGTGTTCCCATCTGAAAATCTGAGGTCCTCCCTCCCAGTTCACAGGTTGCTGACAGAGTTCAGATCCTTGCAATTGCAGGACTGAGATCCTCAGCACCTAGAAGCCACCTGCCATTCCTGCTGCAGGGCCTACTCCACAACATGGCAGTTTGCTTCATCAAGGTCAACAGGAGAGCAATTCTACTGCTTCAGATCTCTCCCCTTAAAGCCAGGCACAGTGGTTTATGCCTGTAATCCCAGCTCTTTGGAGGCTGAGGCGAGAAGATTGCTTGAGCCCGGGAGTTCAAGTGCTGTCTATGCAACATGGTGAGTCCTTGTCTCTACAAGGACTCAAAAAATCAGTTGGACATGGTGACACATGCCTATAGTACCAGCTACTTGGAAGGCTAAGGTGGAAGGATCACCTGAGCCCAGGAGGTTGAAGTTGCAGTAAGCCATGATTGTGCCACTGCACTCCAGCCTGGGTGACAAAGGGAGACTCCAATTAAAAAAAAAAAAAATCTCCCCTCAGAAAAGTCATGGATCTTCTTTCAAAGAGCTCACCTGATTAGGTCTGACCAGGATAAACTCCCTTTTGAGTAACTCAAAATCAATATGTCATTTTAAGCCACTAAGTTTGTGGTAATTTGTGAAACCAGCAACAGGAAATGAAGGCACATTTCTTGATGCTAGCATTAGTCACACTGTGTGGGGGTGCCTTCCTCATTCAAGTCAGAACTCCTCAGCCTGGGTTACCTTTGTTTCCGGATGGTTTAACACAAAGCCTGACCCTCAACATGAGCTCACAAATGCTACTGGATGAACTAACAAATGGACAAAAGTTTACCTGCTCCATCTAGCTGCCTGTCTCCCTCAGCCTGAACACAAACACACACACACACACACACACACACACACCCACACACACACACACAGACACACACTCGCCCGTGCATCCCATGCCACTCTATCCATTGCACTCCAAGGAGGGCATTTCTGTTCTTACACGGAAGTTCACCTTGGACTGGACAGCAAATAGCTGTTTCTCAGGAACATGATGATTGCAAGTGGGGGAGAAAGATTTCTCTCAAAGTAGTAAGTAACTGAACAGATCTGCAGGGTGGGATGAAAAGTTGAAATTTTGATGCAGTTGATTTAAAACTCAAGAATTGACACTGCAGCACAGAAATGTAAAAATCTTCCCTCCTAATGAACAAGTGATGGGCAAGTGATGTGAGTAGAAGACTCCCACATCTCCCATATCCCCTTTGCTCCCCACCCCATCTCAGCCCACACTCAATCACTGAAAGGATGGGGAAATCTGTATTGAATGACACTGAAAGATGTCCACCTTATATCACTGAGAGAGAGAAGCAGATTCCAGAACAGTGTGAATAGCATTATCCCACTTTGTTAAAAAATTAGATCTATATACCACGTGTATATTTGTGTATTTTTACAGGCGTAGAACAGAGGCCAGAAGAAGATTCCTGAAGATCCTTAAAATGGTTTTATGGAGATTATGGACAGTTGCTTTTTGGAAATTTTATCTGTGTATTTTTACACATTGTTGAATAAAAGAGCAAGACTATCGGCATAATGAAAAATAAAGTTTAAATAATTCCGAAACAAAAGAAACGGAGCGTTTTGCGCGGCAAGGCTACTTTGTGTCGACGCCGGGACAGCCCCAGACCCTCTGCCCCGCCCCAAATAGGAAGCTGGGGTCTGGTCTCCCCGGGAGCGATGGCGGCGCCATCAGAGGAGCAGCGGGCAGGAGCGCTACGGGGCAAGCGGGGAGGTCCTGGGGATCCGAGCACGCAGATCTGAACCCGGCGGCACTTTCTACCGAATGACCCGAGGGTGACCCGCTCCGGGCCCAACATAGGGTGCAGGGAGCCGATCTCGCCGCCCCGCGGCCTCTCCCTCCCTCCCGCACGGCCACAAGGGCCTCGCTGCGTTCTCCACGCGGCCACGGGAGTGAGGGCAGGTGCCACCCCCGAACCGGGCCGAAGCACAGACGCACACGGTCACCTAGGCCTTCCTGGGTCCCATTCCCCGCACCCCCACCCCTTCCTGCGGTGGCGTTTTTGTTTTAACTCTTGTGAACTGGTTACAAAACCACACTCCCACGAATACATAAATAATGGATGGGGAGGGCGACGTTTTAAAGAAATTCCCGCAAGGCCTGGCAAGGCAACAGCAACTGCATTTCTGCTGTATCATATTTAACTGTTTGCAGACTTCTGCCAGGAGGATGCGCGGTGGCTGCGAGGCTCCAGGGCTCCCTCGCCCTTTTGCGTCCGGGGCCCCGCCAGACTTGCACGGGGCTTCACCAAGAGGGGAGAAGGGGTCGGCGACAGGGGGCTGGGAGGATGAAAAAGAGGGTGCAAGGAGTAAGACTGCACTGCGTCGACCCGTCTTAGCACAAGCCGAGCACCCAGCCGTCTCCCCGGTTCTGCTCCCGCCATCAGGCGAGGCCCCTTTAAGAGCCAGTGCGCGCCCCCGCCCCGCGAGCGCCGACTTTCCCT